AAAGATAGTGTTGCTTTGTCTTTACTTATTAATCCAAGAAATCTCTTCAGTGGTTCAATCAGACTATGCTCATCAAGATTTACAATATCCTTATTAAATTCACCTACAGCCAAAATACCAGGAGCCATTCTCTTGGAATGATAAAGATGATCACTTCTCATATTTTACACTCTGCACAAAGTAGATTTTTTACTGTCATATGATGCAAACAAGTTTGTGGGTCAGATTTTTCTGGCCCTATTATAGGCGTTGCATACGAGAGGAGTATATCTGGAACTTTGTTACCATGACCACTCGTGATAGCTTTAAATATTTTTGACTGCATTTCAGCGAGGTTTATTGATTCACCAGCCTGTATACCATACTCATCTCTTACCCATTCTTCAAACTTTTCTGTAATATTTAGTACATAGCTTTGTGCTTCAGCTTGTGCTTCTAGTAAGGACTCAGATTGCTCTACTGTAGAAACATACTTTTGACCTGTAACCTTCCTTATCAGTACATCAAGTAACATTATTGTACCATTGACATCAACGTTCTGCATACATGCTTCTGTGTTAAATTGACCTATATTTGCTTGCTTGCTTTCTTTTGCTCCTTCATGTTTTATAGTTGTACTTATTGCTGGTTTTGCACTGATAACACTATATATTCCTTCATATATTCCTTGGGTAATGCTTCTCACTAATTGAGGTATCCATGGTGTTGCTCTGCCTGCTCCACTTGTCACATGCTTCTTTTCCATTGTCACATACTGTTTTTCCATAGCAAAAAGATGATTATGAACCTTATCAGTCTCTATATTTGATTCCATACTCTCTAAGTTTTCTGCATCCGCTTGTAGCATAATAATTGCTAATGTTTGATTAGCTGCCGTATTTTTATGAGATCCAGCAGTAGAATTATCTGCAGTACTTAAAATACCATGACGACTACGGACGTCATAGCTACCACCTTTTGATTTAAGATAAGAGACTACTTCATGATGGCCATTATCCTCTGCTAGCTTCAATGGAGTGGGACCCCATTTCTCATCACAAAAAATAGGACAGTCTGCATCCTGCCAATAATAGTGCTCATTAACTGACATTCCTCTTTCTTCAACAAAGTATTTAACAACGTTTAAATTACCTTGTTGAGCAGCCTTATGAAGAGGAGTATGATCATATACATCAATGACATACACATTTGCACCTTTATCAATAAGATATTTTACTACATCTAACTTGCCATTGTAGGCAGCCCAGTGCAGTGGAGTCCAGCGATAACCACCATCAACACCCTCAAGATTTACGTCGAGACGTTTTTCTTCTATAAAATATTTTACTACATTTAACGAGCTTTCTTCTACAGCTCTATGAAAAGGAGTGTACCCATGTTTGTCAATAACGTGTAAGTTAGCACCTTTATCTATAAGGTATTTTACTACATCTAATCTGTTGTTACAGGCAGCAAAGTACAGTGGTGTCCAGTGATAACCACCATCAGTACCTTTAAAATCTGCATTGACATGCTCTTCTTCTATAAAATATTTTACTACATTTAAAGCACCTACTGCTGCTGCTGCATGAAGAGGAATGTAACCATGTTTCTCAACAGAGTGTAAGTTGGCACCTTTTTCTATAAAGTATTTCACTATATCTAAATCACCAGAAGAAGCAGCCCAATGTAAAGGAGTACGACTATTCTCATCTTTAGCATCTATACTAACCCCTTTACTAACATACTCTTTGACTAAATCAAGATTACCTTGCTTTGCAGCATTAATCAGGTTGCGCTGTAATAGTTGTGTTAAAAAGCCTCTTACTTGAATTGAAGTAGCTAAATCTAAAGGAGTCTCACCATTGTTGGATTTTATATTAAAATCAGCTCCTTTCTCTATAAGATATTTTACCACATCCAATTTGCTAGAAGAAGCAGCCCAATGTAAAGGAGTAGTGCCGCTATGGGCTTTTGCATTAAAATCGGCTCCTTGTTCTATAAGGTATTTCACTATATCCAACTTGCCAGAAGATGCAGCCCAGTGTAAAGGAATAGTGCCATCATCAGCTTTAATATTAAAATCAGCTCCTTTTTCTATAAGGTATTTCACCACATCCAATTTACTTAAAGAAGCCGCCCAGTGTAAAGGAGTCCAACCATAATTGTCTTTAAGAGTAAAATCAGCTCCTTTCTCTATGAGGCATTTCACTACATTCAAGTTATAAAGAGAAGCAGCCCAGTGCAAAGGAGCCCGGCCATAATTGTCTTTAAGAGTAAAATCAGCTCCTTTTTCTATAAAGTATTGTACTAAAGCGAAGTTGCCGGAAGCAGCTGCAAAATGTAAAGGAGTCCTGCCATCCTTGGCTTTAAAATAGAAGTCAGCTCTTTTAGTATCAGTAAGATATTTTACAGTATCTAAGTGACCATTGTTAGCAGCCAAGTGTAAAGGAGTTCTGCCATAACTGTCTTTAAGGTTAAAACTAGCCCCTTCTTCTACTAGGTATTTTATTATATCCAATTTTCCAGAAAAAGCAGCCCAGTGTAAAGGAGTCATACCATTGTGAGCCTTGATGTTAAATTCAACCCCTTTAGTATTAACAAGGTATTTCACTAAATCCAAGTTACCAGAAGAAGAAGCAAAATGTAACGGAACCCTGCCATCGTTGTCTTTAAGAGTAAAATCAGCTCCTTTTTCTATAAGGTATTTCACTAAATCTAAATTACCAGAAGCAGCAGCAAAATGTAAAGTGGTTCTGTCATCGTTGGTTTTTAGATTAGGATCAGACAATTTTATATCAATCAGATATTTGACGACGTCTAAGTGACCATTTTCAGCAGCCTTATGTAAAGGAGCCATGCCATCAGTATTTTTAAGATTAAAATCAACTTCTTTAGTATCAATAAGGTATTTCACTATATCCAAGTTACCAGAAGCAGCAGCAAAATATAATATAGTCCGATCATCTTTGGACTTAAGGTTATGATCAGCTTTCTTAGTATTAATCAGATATTTGACTATGTCTAAGTGACCATTTTTAGCAGCCAAGTGTAAAGGAGTTCTGCCATAATTGTCTCTAAAATCAAGATAAGCCCATTTAATATCAATCAAATATTTGACGATATCTAAGTGACCATTTTCAGCAGCAAAGTGCAAAGGAGTCATGCCATCATTATTCTTAAGATTAAAATCACTTCCTTTAGTATCAATAAGGTATTTCACTACATCCAACTTGCCAGAAGAAGCAGCTAAGTGTAAAGGAGTATCTCCATTTTTATTAGTGGAGTTAAAATCAGCCATCCTTTCTGTAAAATATTTTACTACATTCAGATAACCATTTAAAATCGCAAAGTGCAGAAGAGAGTTGCCATAATTATTGATAGTGCTGAAGTCAGCTCCTTTTTGTATTAGGTATTTGACCATATTTAAGTGATTATCTCTCGAGGCAGCAAGAAATAGAGGGGTATTACCATCATTATCAGCAATATTCACGTTTGCACCCTTTCTTATCAAGTACTTTATCATACCTAAATTGCTACCTAACACTGCTAAATGTAGTGCTGTGTTACCATTATTGTCCCTCTGATTAGTAAAATTAACATTCTTTTTTTCAATAAAATACTTGACCATATCTAAATTGCTACTCAAAACAGCTAAGAGAAAAGGAGTATGACCATTATTATTCTCTATATCTAAGTTTACTTGTTTGTAATTTATCAAGTACCTCACTATGTTTAAATGACCTCGTAAAGCAGCTATGTGTAAGGGAACATTGCCGTATTTATCTCTTTTATTTAAATCAAAGTGTCTTTCATTTATAAGATATTTAACTATATTAAAATGATCACCATAAGTAGCCCAGTGTAGTGCACATCCTTGTGCAGCACCGTTATCTATAAGAAACTCAACTATACCAAAGTAGCCTTTATGAGCTGCAAAATCTATAGGGGTCATCCCATTCTTATTTTTGGTATTAATATCAACACTTTTGTTATTGACTAAAAATTGTACAATATCTAATTTACCATAAAAAATAGCAAGATCTAAAGGAGTGTACCCATCTTTTCGCTTTGCATATAGATCAGCACCCTTTGCAACAAGACGTTTCACTATCTCTAGATCACCACTCTCAACAGCAAAGTGAAGAGGTGTATAACCGTGTTTGTCTACATCTTCAACTGATGCACCTTTATCGAACAATTTTGATACAATACTATCTTGTCCATTTAATGCAGCAAGGTGTAATGGAGTTATATCATCTTTTCCTTTGATATTTACTTTGATGCTATCAGTTGCTAATAATTCCATCGCAGCATCTTCCTTTTTAGATTCGATGGCTGAATGTAATGGCACCCAACCATCAAGTGATTTTTCATTAATATTAATTCCATCATGTCTCATTATGGATTTAGCAATGATTGGATTACCAAGCAAAGATACAAAATGTAAAGCTGTTAACCCACTCTTGGTTTTAGCATTAAGATTAATTCCATCACTGGTCAATAAAGCTTCAACAGTATCATTATGCCCACCAATTATTGCTAAGTGCAGGGGAGTTAACCCTACATCAGATTGCATATTAAGATCAGTCCTCTCATCTTGAGATAATAGATTAATGACACTAGTTTTAGCAAAGAAAGCAGCAGTATGCGAAGGAGTAAATCCTCTTTGGTCTTTTGCATTAATGAGAATACTTTTAATCTGCATTAAATTGATCACAGTATCTACATAACCTTTTTCAGCAGCAATGTGTAAAGCTGTTTCTCCTAAATTGGTTTTTGCGTTGACATCTGCACCATTACCCACTAAGTACTTAATAAAACTTCCATGTCCAACTTCAGCAGCTATATGCAGGGGAGTATAACCGTTTATATCTCTTGCATTAACATCAGCACCTTTACTCTTCAAAGTTGCTACGACATAATGGTTACCAATTATCACGGCAGCATGAATTGCCTGTCTACCTTTTTCATATCTAGCATTAACATCGGATCCATTTTCAAGAAAAACCTCCATTTCATCTATGGCGACATCTTCATTTGGTTCTAAAACAGCATTATAGAAATCCCTACCAATATCTTTAAACTCTTTTTGATCATTATCTTCAATAATACCAACCAATTCTGGTTCATCATTATCAAACTTTCTAAAGATGAGACGAGTTCTTCCTTGTGGGTCAGCTCCGATATGAAGCGATGGGTTTGCTTTTCCGCGTATTGCATATGGTATAGACCATTCACCAACTGGATAGTAAGTGTCGTAACTGTGAAATTGTATTGCATAACTGACTCTTCTTTTATTTTCCCACTTGCCAACAGGTGTATCCACGTGCGAGTCAAAAAAATTATACTTTATTTTTTCTGTAGATGTTTCTTGAGATAAATTGTTATTTATTGTAGCAAACTTAGATTTTATTGAATTTAAACTATCTATTCTTTCTGATGTAAATTTTACTATATCTTCTCTTTCATCTTGAATAAAATCATACAATTTCACTTCATTTAATACATCAATTACTTTATTGATTAAACCATTACTACTAGCTAATAAGTTTTTAAAATTATTGAAAGTTGTTAAAGTCAAAAAAAGGTAGTGATTATATTGCTCTAAATCATTCTGTTGATAATGGAAATTAGCAAGGTAGCTATATTCCTTAAGTGAAAAGTATATTGCAGAAATGTAAACTGCGGTTCCAGAGCATAACAAACCAAGTGCAGTAAATGCTACCTTGTCATTAGAATTTTCTGGAATAGCAAACCTTTGAATAATTATATCGTGCAAAAGTGTATGCAAACTTCCTGATTGTGGTACTCTGGAATTTTGCAAATGACATAAAATGTCATTGACTTCATCAAGCTTAGCGACGTATTGGTCATGAGTTAAATACCTTATAGCATCTTTTTCTTGTATAAAATATTTCATAAAAGTAATTAATTCTGAAGTTACTCCCTCTATTCTTGTTTTCCTGACAAAATCAATAACATCTGTAAATGCTTTTTCCATTGTGTTGCTAAGGTTACGTTCTGATATCTTAAACCTTGATAACATTACCTCGAGATTTCTATCTACTTTATTTTTTACTCTTCTAATGGTCTCATAATTTTTATCGACCTTTGTTTTCATCTTTAAAATAGCTTCATAATTTCTATCCGTCTTACTGTTGATGACCATAAGCATAAAAGCAATGTCCAAAAAGAAACCAGTATTGGCTGGTAGTAGACCTTGATTATTTAAAAGTAGACTTTGATTACCTAAAAGAAGGTTATGGCTTCCATCCATAACCTGATAATTTTCAGTAAAATTTCTAGTAGAAGCAGGAGCATGATCCATAACATACCCTTCTATACTTTCTAAAGGTTTGTCTTCACTCAACCCAAAGAGCCTCTGCAATGACTCAAAAATTGCATCAAAATTATGCTTGCCAAAATCCGCAATACCATTAAATTCCTTTGTTGTATAGATATTGAGGATATTATCTACAGCTGTATTATTAGTTGATTCTCTGCCCATTATAAAATTAAATAATGTTAAATATGGCTTTACTTGTAACACAGATATTTTTAGTGTCAATAGTTTTTTTATGAGCTTAAATAGTTAACAGTAACTAGACTTCTTCTGAATTACACAAATGAGCTATATTGAACGGCCTTTGTGTGAGTCTGTATTTCTGCTTTCTTCAACTTGTTTAGTGAAAGATGTTTCATTCTTATCGGGATGTTTAAGTGACTTAGTAATCTCATGTATCACAGCATTTGCTGCAACTAAAAATGTTTTTAATAACGCACCTAATACTCCGCTGGCTGGTGTTCTACCATACATGTGAGCCTGTTTTTCATTACTATCAGCAGTTTCTCCAGCTCTTCTTTTTGGATCCATTCTATTAGCAATCACAGAAAATAATACTTCCTTAATTGAAGATTTAACTTGCGTCTTGATTTCATGTATGTCTTCTGTTTTATGTTTAGCGTTCGTTAGCTCTTGCTGTTGAGTAAAAATATGGCTTAATGTTTCTTCAATGGTTTGTTTTCTTCTCTTTTCTTGTATTCTCTTGATAGAGTTTGACTTATCACGAGTATATTTTGTAGTTTCAAGTTCTACATTAATATCCTCATATGCTGCTTGGCTGTACAGAGTTTCTATTAGCCTATCTATACTACGTTTTACTTGCATAGTTCTTTCATAGCTATCCAATTTGTCAATTCCTTCATCAATCTGATTTAAGATATCCTCAAAATCCTTAAAGTGATCCTCAATATATTTCTGTATATATTGCTCATCTTCTTCTTTAGATTGTTCTTGTAAGCTGTTGTTTTTTAGGTATTTTTCTCTTACATCGTCGTCATTATTTTCTTCAGTATTGTCGTTTTCTTTAAAAAGATCTTCATCACTCATAATTTTACACGCCAAAAACTTCACCAATTGTCATTGTATTTGAATAAAATTAAATTAACGTTAAGAGATATCCTTGCAAATCCACTAGCAGCAGAAAATTTCATTGCTAAATTCACAGGGCTATCCCTTAATGAAGTTAAAAAACTTCAAGATGAAAAGCATCGCCTTACTCACTAGCTTCGACAATAAAACTGCCATCAATTTTGAAAGAGATATTTTTTTA